GATGTTGTTTGAGTCAATCAGTTTCAGTCAGTACCTCTTGTCAGATGCTGAAATGTGAATCAATCTCCGGCTCGGGATTGCTAATCATCATGAAATGGGTGTGGGTCGGCGCTGGTTTTGTTGGGGAGAGGAATCTTTGAAATATTTCTGCATTTTAAATATATCTAAATAACTTGTCCCTAGGACGACAAGACAGTTTCGTGAGACCTGAGCCTGCTGGTAAGGAAGTGTTCAGGACAGGAAACAATGCTGAAAATATCAATCTAAATATGAATCTGATTAATCTTTTCTGTCAATCAGTTTGAATTTTAGCAGTTTAATCTGTGATCGTAAAATAATACTGCTTAATTTGAATGAATAATTCACATTTTAGTCATTTAATTACTACATTGTGACGTTGTCTTGAGTAACATTGTTGAAATCTGAAAAGTTTTCATATGAACACAGATCAAGTCATCATCAGCTTAATTCGGTTTATTGGCCGTATCTTAATCACCTATAAAATGTTGACATATGATGCTTTAATTCAAAATCTGGTCTTCAATATTTGGGTTTTGGGCTTTGGTCCATGGGTCTGGTCTATTCTATATAAATCAGTGGTCTAGAACCTATGAAGCATAGTTTTATTAAGCATTCGTAAAAGTAACATTTTAAAGTAATTTAGTGATTATAAAGAAAACGTGTATATATATTTTTTACAATCAGATTTACCAATAAAGAAAAAAAATTGAATAAAAGAGTTAGAAATTATTTTAACTATAAAAATACACATCAACCACTCCAAAAGAAGCTATATCAGGGTGCGGATTACAGGAGGGTAGGTTGTATAGACAGCACTACTGTGCTGTTGTGGAAATAACCAAGTAAACAGAAGCATAGAAAACAGAGCTACATTGTCAGAGCAAAAAAGGAACACGCTTAAATGGTAACACAACAAAAAGTATAGTATAGGATAGAAAAGAACCACATTGAATGTAAATATGAAACACAGAATTTTGTCACAATACAGTGTTGTTATAAGTAATCCTGTATACCATAGTTGTGTGATTTATAAACAATTAAATCAGCTGTGTGTTTTTATAGTTACACATTTACATGTATGTATTGTGCACAATTATAAAACAGTGCACATCCAAGATATCTAAAGAGAAGTCTTCCACTCCATGTAAAAAATCCTACACTTTTTCTTTTGTTTTGACTAAACTGGTTTTACTAAATATTAAATAAGGTGATGAAAACGAATAGACTATAGATGTGAGAAGTAACGAAATCGTTTTAGAGTACTATAATGAAATGCTGGTTAAGCATATAAATGTAAACAGTCATTGAATAAGAGCAGAACGCAGAGCTGAATGTCTTAAGGCTCCTACACACCGGGACGTTTTTCGTTTGCGTTTATCGGCAGCGTTTTACGAGACGTTTTTCAGTGTTCAAACACAAGCGCTTTTCACTGGCGTCAAGCAGAAGAGCATGCTAAATCACTCTTTTGACGTTAGATGGCGCTGCACAACATTAAGCTTCTGACACCCGCTTATAACACAGAAGAAGAGGAGGAGAGGAAGTTCACATGTTTGTTTATAAAGTTACTGGTGACTTGAACAAGCATGGATGGTTCAAGCAGCAGCTCCAGCTCTAGCGATGAAGAAATGATTGTTCACCAGTGCAATAAGCAGCTCCACAATCATATCGCCTCTGGGCATCTTCTTCAATGTGCGCTCACATTGACAGTTTTGCGCTTGAGCGCCTCCAAGTGCTGTTTACGGTAACTTCAGCAGCTCCGTGCACATGAGCAAAAGTGCCGATCTGATTGGTGGAGAAGGTTTTGATGCTGCGCATCAAAACCAAAAAAACTAGCATGAGGCGTTTTTAAAAAATTAACGCTTTTGTGCCTGCCGTTTTGCGCGTTGCTATGCACAATCACATTGAAGCCCTTTATTAAGTTATGAGGCGTTAAACCTCGACGGAAAACGCGAGCAAAAAACGTCTCTGTGTGCACGGGCCTTTATAATGTAAATGTAAAGAAGAGACCGCCTTGTAATAAATCCTGAACTTATAATTAGTGAATATGAGGGGGTTTCACTTTTCGAAATGCGGTATAAATTCGTCTCTTTTTGGTTTTTATAATTCGTTTGAACACATTCTGGTGCTGCTCGTCAATTTGACTATTCTTCTATGTTCATTTTTCAGACTTATCCGGCAGTCAGATTTCGATACAACACCGGCACTGCATGTTCCTCCATGTCTCGTCAGTGATGGGTCATTCTTGAACGATTCGTTCATGTTGAACAAATCTTTTGTATGACTCATGGAGTGAATCACTCATTTGCACATGCGCACAATTGTGCAAGTAGAGCTCGCGAGCTACCTTGGAGCGGTCTGTTTTGCGCAGAATGTGCATGTATGTCTTCAAACCATATTGATATGGACAATATTGGAGAATCCCGCATCGCGTTAGAGAATCATATTGATGTACCTTCAGAACTCGATATACGGCCCAGCCAACACAATCTCACGCCAATTCGTAACTTTATCATTTAGTGGCTAATTCATATGAATTCGTAAGATATAATTTGTACCATTTAGTACGATTTGCTCATCCCCCAATGAAAGTTGGGTTTAGGGGTGGGGTTAGGTGCCACGCCTCCTTTTTAAAATCGTACAATTTCGTACGACTGAACTTGTACAAATTTGTACGAATTAGCCACTAAACTATAAAAACGTAAAATACTTACGTTTGCTCGTGAGATCAGCCTGGCCCAGCCCTAATACCTTATGATATCTTAAACATATTAATGGGAAATGCTTATTTAGCTGAAACCTTTTCAAACAAAATGCATTGTTTGCACAAAAATTAAAAAGTGGTTGATGTTTTACACTGCTGCGTTTTTGACAATAGATGTATACATAGTTTAACAACATTCAGTCCAAAAGTGCGTTATGGGTAAAATTCAATAAAAAAAATTAATCAATGTACTAATATAACATCAATACTACTCCCTAAAATGTAAAGAAAAAGCATTTTGGCTCTTATAATATTAAAGTGTAGCTGATATACAGCTTTAAAAATATAAATGATGTGTTTTGACTGCCTGATCACACGAGAAAATGCAAGTATTTTACGTTTTGCCAGTTTAGTGACTAATTCAGTCGTACGAAATTGTACGATTTTATAAAGGAGGCGTGGCACCTAACCCCACCCCTAAACCCAATCGTCATTGGGTGATGAGCAAGTCGTACTAAATTGTACAAATTAAATCGTCCGAATTGATATGAATTAGCCACTAAATCAAAAAGTTACGAATTGCCGTGAGATTGTGTTGGTTTTGAGGGTGTTAAAACACAGAAGTATTGCCTCCTTACAGAAAAAAGACATTTAAATATCGTGCCTGTGTAATGTTTTCTTTTGTACCCACATGCTTTATGTGGACTCACTCAGAATCAGCGAAACACTGCGACACGAGTATGAGATGTCACACAGCAAAAACTCTTTACAAGAAACTTCTGCAATTAAAGCGGGATTACATTTGCATACACTTCAAGTTCAAGTGCTGCATATTTGTGCTCTTAAAATACCAGCCAAGTGCTTTCCGTCTCACTCTTTCAGGTTCAAATGCATAAGTAGGACTATTTTGAATATAAAATTCTCCTAATGCACAAAACTGCATACCAAACAATATGCATAATCTTGTATTGTCTACGAGCTGAATATATGCATGTTGTTTAGTGTGCGCTTTTATATGTCTGGAAAATTATGTAGATCAGACTTCATCAAATAAGTGGAACACGTCCTCTGTGTAGACATTCAGAAATAATGTTATCCTAATGTTATACAGTGAGCACTTTTATGATTGTCTGACTAATAATGAGTGTCATGGTTTATATGGTATTTCTGAATATTACAGATTAATAGTCTTTGAAAAATAATGCTCAAAAAGTTATACATAATAATAATAATAATAACAGCAACAATAATAGAGCTTCACAATTTTACTAGCCTCTTTTGTAAAAAAAGTACACTTGAAATTTCATGGATAAAAACAATAGCCAATTTAGTATTTAAATTAATTTTAATATGGACTTTTCTCTTTTTAAACACAAAACAGTCATGAAAGATGACTTCAGTTACATCAAATTGGATCTTTTCTTGCAAAGCTGGATGTTGGATTCATGAAAAATAATAGTTTTGAGCAAAACTGATTAGCTGAAGTCACACCGATGCAACAGCCAACAGAGGATTCGGCTTGATCTTAAAGCCTTTTTGATGGGTTATTTTCACAATTTATGATGGCATAGCAGTCAAAAGAGGACAAATGATCTCAAATATGGGACTCTTTATAAGTGTGGTGTGGGCCTTTCAAACCACCCTTAGCCTCTTTGGCCACGGGCCTGTAAGAGGTACAATTTGTAATTTTTACTGTTTTAATTTTTAACAGCAACAATCAGGACTACATGATTATTTGATGTCATGTATTTCCAATCAAAAATGTAATTGGAAGTCAATGGGGCAAAAACAGCCACCAGCGTAATAAAAGGGCAGTTAATTTGAGCAATACACAAGGGTTAAGCCTATTTAGATATGGTTTTGGACATTGTGTACATGACACTTAAGAATTATTCATATTTACAATATTAAAAATAATGCACATTTTGACTTAATCATGGAAATTTGACCTGTTAATTATGTCCAGTCAGAATGTTTTGTGAGATTGAGACTCTTTTTTTTTTGGCAGCTAAATGGGTTAGGCTTTAATTTGATGACCAGCGCTTTAATATTTAAATCATCAATCGAATGTAAACCTGTCAGAGTTTTATCGTAGCTTAAAAGGTGCCATAAAACTCAGTATACTTTTCCAGCAAGCCTTTATGTTTGTCAGTCATAGTTGTTAGAGAATTCTAATATACAGGTCTGGTTTTTATTGAAATGAATTGGACTGCTTTGAAGTGTAACGAGGTCATGCGACTGACACTGTTAATGAGATGAAAGTGTTTTTCATTTAAAGCTCAAAGACTGGAGCGACTGAGGAAAGAACGACAGAACCAGATCAAATGCAAAAACATCCAGTGGAAAGAGAGAAGCTCGTCTCAATCAGGTACAGTAGCATAATATTTGTACCAGGCTTATGTGTGCGCTATATATTTTTTGTTGCAATCATTTCTGAAGGTTTTACCATAGCATACATTATTATCATGATAATAAGCTGAGCTTTTTGTGTGTGTGTGCATTGCATAGTACTTAAATATTCTCAGAGTAAACAACCTTTGTTTTAACCCATGTGTTCTCCTAGAATTCTGTTTATATAACTAAAGTTGAGACGTCTCTCTATAGCCAGGGATGGGCAAAAATACATTGAAATGTATTTTAATACAAAATAACTCACTTTTACATGTATCAAAATAAACTACAAAATACAGCAGCCACAAATGTATCAAAATAAAATTCTGTATTTTGTATTTTGAAAATACTGCAAAATACTTTTATAAACGAGCATAAAATTTCTTCACAAATCTTTTATCAGTGGGCAAATTTGATTAATCCTCTCATAGTTAAACTGACTCAGTGAAGTAAAGGCCCAATCCCAATTCTACCCCTTAGCTCTTCCCCTTACTCCTACCCCTCATTTTGCGCGTTCATGTCAAGGGGTAGGGGTGTCCCAATTCTCTTTCAAGCGTTCACACTTAGATACTGTTTGACAACTTGTTAGCAAGTAAGCAGGTTTGGCATGCTGCTCGGGGAGAGAACCCTGAGCTCGGAGATAGTTGAGCCCAGGGCTCCCGCCAGGTCCATAGAGCATGTGAGGGGAGTACGAGGTCAGGTGTTCTCGAGAGCTCCCCTCGACAAAAGAGGAAAGGAGGAGAAGGGGTGAATGGGGGGTTTCTTCAGGAAACGAAGATAAGGGAGTAGTTCTTAGCTAGGTTACTTATAGTGAGTTTGGATGAATCTGATTGGCTAGCTAATGAGTGTAGATGAGTGGCCAGCTGCAGTCAATCATATCACGTGCTCCTCGAAATTAGTTTGTGAAACTTCATTTAGCTCGAAGGCGTTGGGATAAGGGGAAGGGGTGAATAGCCCTTCGAACGAAGATTTTTCAGGACCACACTCGAAATCAAGGGGTAAGAACAGAATACATCAGCCACAACGGCTGTATAGCTGCACGCGGAAGTAAGGAGATCCACAAATATGTGTTTTTTTTGTCAGTATTGCTAATTTTACGACAAACAAACACATGTTTGAATATATTCATAACCGTGTTTGTGTTTTACTATCACGCTTTTTAAAAACACAGCTAAAATAAAAACTCTATCTATAATTCATAATCATAACGCCTGTATAGCAGTCCCACAACATTCTGACACTCGAAGACACTCGAATACTCTGTCAGAAATGTCGAGTGACTGAGAATGAGCTTTTTACAGTGTCTGCTTTAATGTTAGTGTTGTTTTGTGTGTTTATGTTGATGAATATGGCCACTGTGTGCCTTCAGTCATTTCCTGAAGATAAATCGTCACCTTGGATTTACAAGGTTTGATCTGTGTTCTGAATGATTTAATGAGCTTCAAAGTTTTTGCATCCCATATAGCAAACAGTATGTGTGTAACATTTGTTTTTTTTTAAATAAAAAGTCTTAAAATGTAAACAACTTATAAAAAAAAACACCCCATAATGTAAATAAGATGTCATTTAATAAGAATATGTCAATATCGCAGAGCTGCTTCATCCTTACACTCCTGTGAGATCTCTTATGCCGAGTTCAGACTGCATGATTTTCAAAGAAGTCGTGTCACAGATGTTTTCACACTGCATGACTATCTGGGCTAGCGTTACGTCGCTGCTTTGTTTACACTGCAAGATGGATCGGCGACAGGGACTTTCACATTGCATGACTTTACTATAGGAAAAATCGCCGACAACTTCGTCCAAACTACGTCTCACAGCCAAAAACATGTAGTATATCTTTTGTTATTAACTACATAATGAGAAAGAAGCCTTTAATGGGGTAGAACATGTACATGTTTGCTCACCTGGGTTTAAAGGGAATTAGCCATTTCTCCTCAACGTTGATAATAAACTAATTTCTTTCTGTATGAAACGTCAAACAGACACGGTTGCTCATGAGTCCTGTCAAACCTCCACTAGTTTTCCTCCATTTCGTGGGTCCAAATAAACAGAAAAAGAGCGCTTTTAACTTCTCCCCCAGCCTCACGCTGGTCTGCAGCAGGTACACACACACACACACACACACACACAAGTGAATGCTGCTCTCTCATTGGCTGTAGGCGATCGCCGATGTTATTTTCAGTCAAAACTCAATTCACACGGCATGATTTGAATCGCCGACAGCTCCAGATATTTAGCACGCCAAATATCTCACAGGCATCGGCGACTCATCGGCGATTCTCTCAGATCGCGTCTTTGATGGTTCACACTGTGTGATTGTCACTCACGTGCACGAGCAGCGATTTGCCTGTGATTTCAGGCATTTGTCGGCGATTTCTCAAAACCTGTCAGCGAGCCAAAATCAGGGCTAAAATCACGCAGTCTGAACTAGGCATTAGGTCAAGTGAGCAGAATCTTTTGTCAGTTCCACAATCAAGGCTAAAACGTAGAGGGGACAGAGCTTTCTCTGTGGCAGGTCCTCGGTTGTGGAACACCTTGCCCCTTGAGATCAGAATGGCTCCATCATTATCCACTTTTAAATCACGTCTTAAAACAAACCTTTTTAGCTTGGCTTTTTAAGATTATTTTAATAGTTCATTCTACCGCTAATTTTTTACAACTTCACAGACGTTTCGCTTGCTTTATTTCTATGTGTTTATATTCTGTCTTTTTATTTTGAATAACTCAATTTTGGTTATTGGTGGAGTGATGTTCAGCGGAGTGGAATAGAGAATTGAGCAACTTTGTAGACCCACACGTGTTGCTTAGGCTGACTTTGCTAAAATATTTGTATAAAATGTTTGATTGTGGTATAGCTTTTAACCCAATTAGGCTGATTAGGTAATGACAAAACAAAACACAAGTGCTTGATCACGGACTGGCTCAAGGATAGTGGCAGGAAATATCGGCCCGAATATTACTCCCAGGAAAAAAACATTATGTGTTCAATACTTATTTTCCCCGCTGTATGTTCATTGTCATGATGTATTGCATTATTGAATCAGCACATGCTGTTTATTGCTTGTCCTCTGAATGTTTTTATTCTTGATTTTTTTTTGTTTTGTTTTTTGTAGCAGACGATTTGAGTTCGCTTTTTGAAAAGAAAGACTTTAAAGACAGGCCTCGGAGCACGGGCAGTAAATCCACACTCTCACTGCGGCTGGAACAGTGTCCTCAACAGCTCAACAACCCCTTCAACGAGTACTCCAAATTTGATGGCAAGGTGAGCACTTCAAATCAAGTCAAGTTGAGCTTTATTTTACATTTACATTTACATTAAGTCATTTAGCAGACGCTTTTATCCAAAGCGACTTACAAATGAGTACAAGGAAGCAATTTACACAAACTAAGAGCAACAATGAATAAGTGCTGTAGGCAAGTTTTTGTCATTCTAATACATAAAGTGGAACAAAATATCTCACAGGACCCCGGTGCTACATAAATAAACATTAGCATAACTGTGAACACAACACTGGATGTACAGTTGAAGTTGGAATTATTAGCCCTCCTGTATATTTTCTCCCGTTTCTCTCCAGTGTTTTCAACCCATTTCCAAGCATAATAGATTTAATAACTTATTTCTAATATTCTTTCATCTTTGCCATGATGACAGCACATAATATTTGACTAGAGATTTTTCAAGATACTGGTATTCAGCTTAAAGTGACATTTAAAGGCTTAATTTGGTTAATTAGGTGAACTAGGCAGGTTAGGGTAATTAGGAAAGTTATTGTACAACAATGGTTTGTTCTGTAGACAACTGGAAGAAAATTGCTGAAGAAGACTATTAATATTGACCTTATCTATTATTTTTTTTGCATTTTAAAACTGCTTTTATTTTAGCCAAAATAAAACAAATAAGACTTTCTCCAGAGGAAAAACTATTATTGGAAATACTGTGAAAAATTCCTTGCTCTGTTAAACATCATTTAGAAAATATTTAAAAAAGGAAAAAAAAATTACAGCAGGGTTAATCAGTTTGACCTTAAAGGTGCAGTAGGTGATCTGCCAAAATGCTAACCGCTTAGCATATTATCTTTGGACGGCGGGGAGGGACTGTGATTCAAAGCCACACCCCCTGAAATCGTGAGTGCACCGCGTCACAACAGCAGACAGACAACCCACTAGTTCATGTCATTCGCCAGTTAGTTAGTGCCAGCGCCGTGCAGGAATTACATTTATTACTTAGCCACACTTGCATGCTATTTCAGTGCGAATATTCAGAGTAGCGGTAAACAGTATAGGGAGGCTGTCATTGTTTAAAAATGAACCAATGTGAATATAAAAGCAACATCAGCTCAATAAAGCAGCTAGGCGGAATAGCGCTATTTACTGATGTTTTGTTGTTAAACTAAATATAAATCTACATTATAGATGCTGTCAAAGGACCTTATTGAACTGAAAATAATCACATCAATCTTTCACTGGGAGATTTCAGTGGCTGAACAACACGTCTGTGCATATAAGTCATTCATAACACAACACAATCTAACATAAGCTTAGCCTGACTAAAACAGTTTTAAAACAGAACATCACCTGTCTAACAGTAATACTTCAGCCATGGTGTCGTCCTTCCTCCAGCGTGCTAAAGTAACTCCTATATTGATTCAGGTTTTTTAAAGTTTCAATTCAGCATTTGATTACTCCCGGTCTGTCTCGTTGCCGCGCGGCCGCTTATGCAGACGGGCACGTGCGAATGGCGGATCTGCGTGAACAGATGCGCAGTAGTCCGAATCTACATTTGCTGGCAGACAATCTGAACTGCTTATTGGAACTACGGGAGATTTTGGTCCGACTCTATTTAATTGGATGAACATTTTTAAGTTTTATGCCTTACCCAGAATGTAAAAATACATATAAACACATTTAGATCATTTACTGTAATCATTACTATTGGACTGTGAAGAGACTTTCAACCAGCACATCCAAAAATGTTTCTGAAGACAATCACCTACTGCACCTATAACTACATATGTATATATTAGTGTTGCCACAAATGTTTATATTTTGATAAGTATCGATACAGAAATATATATGGGGTGTGTGGTTTTCTCACAGTGTCATATCTAAGTGTGAAATTATGTTATCTAAGTCGACATCGACTAATCGCTGGTGATGTCATCAATAAAACACAAGATGTAAATGCTTTGCAAAATGGCACAATTTGCGATTTATTTGAAGGAATCATATACACATGCTATTTGATGGATCATAACACGTTAAAAAACAATGCAACATTAACAATGACTAATTTTAGTGCAAAACAAATGCACTGTCAAAACGCTAATAATGTAACATTAGCACCTGGGCTAATTTCACTGCTTAAAATGCATATGTATTAGGACAGCATAATATATCGGTTCAGCATTGATAACACAATGTGATCATTCGCAATAGACATATCGCAAGATATATGGATTGTTGCATGTGTTTTTAATGGCTGTGAATGTATAATTGTACCACATGTGACTTTAACAACGATTCATTTAATTGAATTATTTTTAATTTTATCATTCCGTTACTGTACTTGAAGACTATGACTCGGGAAATGATAAAACATTTTATTTTATATTTATAAATTGCTATGCATGAAAATATGCATGACGTGCAAATACCGAAATGCACTGCAAATAGCACAGGCCACAACAAAAATGGGTCAGGGAAATGAATATGTTGTTCATCTGACTTTTATGGAGATGCACTAATATGGAGAAGCCCATATGTATAAAATACTACTAAATGTTATTATGTATTATATATATATATTAGGGATGTAACGGTATCAGAATTTCACGGTACGGTAATACCTCGGTATGAATGTCACGGTACGGTATTTATTGAACCATTTACAGGAAAAAACAAAACTTATGAAAATACTCCAAAAAAGTGCCAAAAGTGTCAATGACATACAAATTAGTCATCTATCTGTAAGCTTTGAAACAGAAACTTCAATTTTAATAACAAAAAATTATTAAACCATGTAAAAAAATAAAGTTTCAATTTAGTAGTGTTGAAAACTCATCACATTCAACATTTAATCACTCACTCACTTAGATAGAGATGGGTTTAAAGGAAAATTATCATATAAATATAATCTGGTAAAAGCTGGTATCTCTGGGTATTTACAATGTCCCCTGCAACAGAAAAAAACCCTCTCATTTGGGACTGAGGATTCTGGGACAGAGATATAACTTGGCCCATGTTGACAGCAGTGGGTAACGTTGTGCATTGTCTTTCCCCCACTTGAGAAGACAAACCATGAGTGAGATAGAGGTCTCTTTGCGGTACAAGTCAATGTCTGCATCAATCTGAACAGTGTGCTGTGTTTCTGCAGTCCCCATGACTGCTATTAGTCGTATTCACCAACTTGCAGGCACATGCACACATAGGGCTCAACCTGTGCAGTGCACATGCCCTTTTTAATCTTGGATAGAAAATGCCCTTCCAAATCGATCAAAAGTGCCCCCGCGACGCGACACAACCTCCGTCCAGCCCTTCAGTAGACAACACCGCTCTTGAGAATGCGCGCTCAACCCCCCCGTGGCGCTTTACAATACGCTCGCGACAACACAGTTGATCAGAACGCGCACGACAACACTGCTATTCAGTACCCGCGCGGCGACAACACCCGCTTTAGGTTCGATCATTTCCATCTTTTTTTCATCTCCGCTACTAGCAGCACACTCCATTTCCGCATTACTGGATCTGTAGCGACAGCAGACCGCAAAGGATTATGGCCACGCCTGGGCTGATGGGAAATGTAGTTTAAGCTACCTGCCGTCCGCTTCATTCGCCTGAGCAAATTTTCTCAGAAGACCTATAGTTTTACCGAGTCATGCGACTTCGGTAATATCGGAAAAAATTAATATTGCGGTATGACGGTATTTACAATACCGTTACATCCCTAATATATATATATATATAATGTTGAAAACGAGTGAATGGTGCTTTATTTAATTAAATATCAATTTTAAAACTTTTTTTTTGTTTGAAAATCAATATTTTTGCTGAGCCTAAAAGCATGCTCTTTGTAAACACCAGAACAGAGAGGCCTGTTGTCACGCAGGTTTCTCTGCTGTCTCCTTGCATTAGGATCAGCTCCAGGCTCTAACACCTTTGCTGAAAAGAGAAAGACTGCCGTTTTAATTTTTTGACAGTTGCAGAGATTTTAGGTGTAGTTTGTCATTGTGCATCACTTACGGCTGCTGTTCTCACCTGTTCCCCTTTGGCTCTTTAGATTTATGTGTCTGTTTTTCTGGATTCTTTTAGTCTTTATTTGTTTCAGGGAAGCAGATCGGCTTCTTTTTCTTGTAAATTAAATCAAGGCATGTTCATTTCAGTGACTTAAATTAAATTAGCTGTATCAAGTTTCACTACTCAGTCTCAATTAATCAATTTATCATTAGCTTGTGTTGAAAATTAGGTAGGGGTCAAATCAGTAGGAGTGTCAAAATGAATTGTTTCTTCGATGCACAGCGATGCAGACGGGGACAATTGGTTATCGGTTCAGTATTAGATCAAAACCGGTTATTACGTAGTGATTTCATTTATGTCGCAAGCGTGTGTCTAGAGTGAGTTTTCTATTACGGATTACCTGTGATAATCGTACATTATGAGCATGAAGACGGTACTCACGTCTGCTCTTCGCTGTCCGCGTCACTCATCGGTGAACCGCGCTGACCATTTTAGAGTCAATTGCAGCCCTTTCTGTTAAGTGTATGAAGACCAGTCAAGCAAGCGGGATAATATTAACATTAGTTTATTTGCTATAAATGCTCATGTTGTCTTCTGTGCATGTATTGAAGTTTTGTTTAAAACATTGAGCATTGAACATTGAGCAAGTACATATAAGGGGTACAGTCAAACTCACTGCTTGTATTAAAAGACAATTTGTATTACAAGTAATATATAACCATATTTATAGATTTTAATAAAAAGTTATTGTGTTGTGAGGAAAAAAATATAATTGTAGATGGAAAGTGATAATTATAACCAGGGTTCAATGCTATGGGTTTTTTTTCTACAGGCCTGATTGTGATTTATAAATATATTATATAAAATTAAATTACATAAAATAATTAAAAGGACAAAATCTGGACCTTTTAGCCGTGGGGTGTGGTTCGTTCGAACCACCCGAACCCCCCTTGGCTACGGGCATGTGTAAGCCATCTTTTCGCTTTAAAGTCTTTTCGATGAAACAGTTGCTTATTACATGTTTTCACCTTCATTTTCAGGGCCATGTTGGTACAACGGCAACCAAAAAAATTGACGTCTACCTCTCAATGCAGTCGACCCAAGAAAAGCTTCACCCCATGACAGTGGTCACCATGGCTAATGCGCGGGTCCACGATCTTATCGGGCTGATCTGCTGGCAGTACACCTGTGAAGGCCGTGAACCCAAGCTCACGTGAGTAGAAAACACTCTTTATTTCAGCCAGACCATAATTCCTGGCTATACCTGAACCCCTGTCCCAATAGCCAGAGGCGTTTTTCCACTGCAGGTGACATTGTCACATCAAGCAGATCTGTGCTGTCCATAGATAATGTGGACAGTGAATATAAATACACCGAGTTCCATCAAGGAAAATACATTTATGTTTTGTATTTTCTTTAGAACTACTACAGTATAAAATGATTTTTAATTTATTATGAGGAGCTGTTTTTGTTTTAAATGCTGCTCAGAAGACACCCTAGAACAGGGCTATTCAATTGGCGGCCCGCGGGCCAAACCCGGCCCCCGAGGCAATTTGTTCCGGCCCTCCAAATAGTGTGACCAAGACAAAATAAATTTAGTTCAGTCGAAATACGGCCGCTATAGTCATGACGTGACGTGCGTCTGTTCAATACAGCATGAGCTGCAGAGGCTGCGCAGAGCGTGAGTCACCATAAGTGAGTGGTGCGGCAGCCGAAAACATTCAAGTGGTACATTTGGATGTTCACTATTAACTGTGGTTTAATTCGTCATGGTTAATGAACTGTAAAGTCTTCTCTAAGCCGCATTTCTTTTGCACGGAACAAAATGATACTGCTGCAGTTGAACAAAGTTATGCCGGGTTGACAACTGTGCGCTAGTTTAAAGTTCCAAGAATGTACACCGAGGCTAATACGCACGGATTAACTATAGCAGCGGCCGTTCCCACATCACGTCTTTTCCGCTTGCAAGTTTTTTATTTCGAATGTAAGAAAAATATGACAATATGCGCGCTCAAGCGGAGCAACGCGCTTGCGTCTTTTCGGTTGCACGCATTAGATAGCATCTGTTATGACAGACAAAACATATGTTAGACGAATTATTATTAATATGATCATGTATGTATTAAGGGTGTCAAAATGAACTGTTTCTTCGTTGCACAGCGATGCTAACGCGGACAATTCGATATCGGTTCAGTAATAATCATAACCGGTTATTGTGTACTAACGTCATTTATCCCCTATGCGCTCTGTCACGAGGGAGGTGAGCGCGGGTATTTACAACACTCAGGAGCCAACTCAGGGCCGGCCCATGGCATAGGCAGTATAGGCAAATGCTAAGGGCGCTTTACATCCAGGGGGGCGCCAGAAATGAGAGCGGTTTAGTTGGTTTTGTTTTCGATGTTCCTAACACATTCAGTTATAGCAGCAATAACTCAAAAACATCTTACCCTAAAAAGATCTAAAGTGTGTTTCCTACAAAAAGACAAAGCTGGTTATGTTTCACAGCTGTCTTTTTCTTTTTTTTTTGACATTACGACCACTGCTCCCTTTAAGCCCTCCCAATATGCGTTTAGCTGGGAGAACTCGTGCTGAGTGGAGCTCTCAATAAGGCACCGTCGGAAAAGTGCTTCTTTTTTTCGTAACTTTTCCCTTCCCCCACCCCCCCTATTTTTTATTTTTTTTGGCTCAGCGCGGCTAAACGCATATTTCGAGGGCTTGAGTGTGTATGTGTTTGTGTGTGTGTGTGTGTGTGTGTTTGTGTGTTTGTGTGTGTACGTGTTTTTGTGACATATCAGGACACAAATCTGTATAATGACATGGGTATGACACAGGTATTACAAAAAGGAGGTGAAATATGAGGACATTGGTGATGCCTCATTTCTCTAAATGCTTATAAATCCCACAGGATGAGTTTAATCAGAGAGTAAAGCTGCACACAGTCTCCTGTGATGGTTGGGTTTAGGAGTAGGGTGGGGTGAGGGCATTACAATATACGGTTTGGACAGTATAAAATGAATGGAAACCTGTCCCCACTTTTCACAAAAACAAACGTGTGTGTGTGTTTGTTTGGCACTGTGTATGTTTGTGTATGTGTGTAAATGAAAGATATTGTGATGCTGTGTGTGTGTGTGTGTGTGTGTGTGTGTGTGTGTGTGTGTGTGTGTGTGTGTGTGTGTGTGTGTGTGTGTGTGTGTGTGTGTGTGTGTGTGTGTGTGTGTGTGTGTGTGTGTGTGTGTGTGTGTGTGTTTATACAGATAGCTTGTTATAGCCTCCCCCCAAAATATAACACTGTGTATGGAAAGCATCGTCAATGCACCGAGATGCACAGAGATATCAAATTGAACCAAATCGATGGCATGATAATCGTAACCAAACCCTGAGACCAGTATAGGTTCACACCTCTAGTATGTATGAACGCAGATGGCAACAATAATTAATTTAAATAGCTATGTACTTACCCAATATAAAGCTTAAATTTATATTTGACGTGATAACCGTGAAACCATGATTATCCTACAGACTATATAATCGTACAACTAAAATCTATAATTGTTCATCCATAATTGTTATGCAGTTCAAAACAACATATGAATGTGTCTGAATAGAAGAAGCCTACTTTTGTTGTGCTCTGAAATTCATTTGAATGTTTGTTAATAAAAAAAAAACTCTATTGTACAATGCAGTGATGTTATGTATTTTCAAAATACAATATATTAACATTTTAATGTAAAAAAAAAGCCAACGTAGGTGTCCTAAGGAAAAATACAGCATATGGGCTCTTATATGCAGTTGTGTCATCACTCATACAGCCAGTCATAATTCCGGCCCTTCGTTTGAGATGCTTTTCATGAACCGGCCCCCATAACAAACTAATTGAATAGCCCTGCCCTAGAAGATGGGTCAAGTGTAGATCCGTCATTGTTTAAGTACAGAGAACATCATGCTTTATAATCTTAGTTTTAACAGATAAAAAATGAGCAAAAATCAAGGAATTTTCTTCCTTCTTGCTGTTTTGGAAACATAACAAACCATCCGCTTGTTAAGTCGTAACGTATCGTGACATATGGAATACTGTTTCCGGGTCCAAGCCGCTACTCATTAGAATGGAGAAAATATTCACTTATGGCTTTTTAGTCATTTCACACTTTAAAGTTAATTTTATCTAAAATCATAGTGTACACAATGGTCTCTGGACTTGCTGCATCACAAATACCAAAACTTTAACAATTTATAAAGAAGTAAATCACTTTCTAGCCATCGGATATTTGGCATGGATATATATTTTCATGACACTTAAGGTCACTGTACAGGACAGCTAGAACAATTAGTTAAAAAAAAACATAAAAGTCAATGTAAAACAATACAAACTTTTAAACTGCAGCCGGGTTAAAGAGAATAGGCTGTTCTAAACAGATGTGTTTTGAGTTTGGATTTAAATGGTGAAAGAGAATCTAAATTACGGAGATCAGGAGGAAGTGAATTCCAGAGCTGAGGAGCAGAGTGGCTGAAGGATCGGCTCCCCATGGTGACAAGGCGGACAGTGTGCACAGTGAGGTGAATGGAGGAAGAAGACCTGAGTGTTCGAGAAGGTGTGGCGATATGAACAAGGTTAGCAAGGTGTTGAGGAGCGAGATTGTGGATGGCTTTAAAAGTGAGAAGAAGTATTTTTAGAATAAATTTCTAATAGATGGGAAGCCAGTGAAGCTGTTGTAGAATGGGTGTGATGTGATAGACAGAGGGAGTTTTGTGATAATACGGGCTGCAGCCTTTTGTACCAGTTGTAATTTATTATAAGCATTTGATGCGTCTCCCCATACAGTTTTATAGAGCGCTTGGACCCGGAAGCTTCTTCGAGTTATGTCACACTTAACAAGCCTATAACATAACTGTCGTATCAAACCAAACTATGAATTTTGTAAACCATTACACCCCTTCTGCAAACTGCTGTTTTCTGTTGTGTTTAATTAGTTAGTGAGGTGAAACGGATTTACACTCACCGGCCACTTTATTAGGTACACCTGTCCGACTGCTTTTTAATGCAAGTTTCTAATCAGCCAATCACATGGCAGCAACTAGATGCATTTAGCATGTAGACATGGTCAAGATGATCTGCTGCGGTTTAAACCGAGCATTAGAATGGGGATTTTAAGTGACTTTAAACGTGGCATGGTTAATAGTGCCAGACGGGCTGGTCTAAGTATTTCAGAAACTGCTGATCTACTTGGTTTTTCACGCACAACCATCTCTGGGGTTTACGGTGAATGGTCCGACAAATAGGAAATATCCATTTAGCGGCATTCCTGTAGGCGCAAATACCCTGTTGATGTCAGAGGTCAGAGGAGAATAGCCAGACTGGTTCCAGCTGATAGAAAGGCAACAGTAACTCAAATAAGCACTCGTTACAACTAAGGTCTGCAGAAGAGCATCTCTGAACACACAACACGTCCAACCTTGAGGCAGATGAGCTACAGCAGCAGAAAACCACACCGGGTGCCACTCCTATCAGCTAAGAGCAGGAAACTGAGGCTACAATTCACACAGGCTCACCAAAACTAGACAATAGAAGATTGGAGAAACATTGCCTGCTCTGATGAGTCTCCATTTCTGCTGCCACATTCAGATGCTCGGGTCAGAATTTGGTATCAACACCATGAAAGCATGGATCCATCCTGCCTTGTATCAACAGTTCAGGCTGTTGGTGGTGGTGTAATGGTGTGGGGGATATTTTCTTAGCACACTTTGGCCCCATTAGTACCAATTGAGCATCGTGTCAACGCCACAGCCTACCTACGCCACAGAGTATTGTTGCTGACCATGTCCATCCTTTTTGTGACTACAGTGTACCCATCTTCTAATGGCTAATTCAAATAATCTCAGACTGGTTTCTTGAACATGACAATGAGTTCACTGTACTTAAGTGGCCTCTACAGTCCCTAGAACTCAATCCAATAGAGCGCTTTTGAGGTGTGGTGGAATGGGAGATTGGAATCATGGATGTGTAGCCGACAAATCAGCAGCAATTGCATGATGCTATCATGTCAATATGCACCAAAATCTCCAGTACCTTGTTGAATCAATGCCACCACGTATTAACTCAGTTCTTAAAGCAAAAGGGGACCCAACCCAGCACTAGTAAGATGTGCCTAATAAAGTGGCCAGCGAGTGTATATGTTCATCTACTGCCACCAAGAATTTCACTAACAGAATAACTCT